AATTTTGGGCGGACGCAGCGCCCATCATATGCCACTTAAAGTCTCTTAGGCAAGGTTTCGAGCACCAAATACGGTTGGATGAATGGAATAACGAGGTTGCATCATAGGGGACGATGATTTCGCTCAAATGAATTTTCCGACCTCGTAGACCTTCAAGGAAATGAGATGATGATTGGACTGAGGTAGTCAAACTGCTTTGGAAAAAATTCAATATTGTGTACATCCACTTTGGAAGTTGTAGGTAGGGCTGACTTTACGAGCAACTATTGGGACATTCAGCTTATGATTTTGGTGCCGCTCACTCGCCATGACCAAATTCATGCGCCGGTATTCTCTTAGTATTTTCGACCTGCGAGCTGATACTGCCTTGTCTAATGTGTTCAATATTGGTGTGTTAAACTCTTTGTTATCAAGAAGAACCTGAGCTTTGGCATTGTAGTCTTGTAGATCTATCAAAACAGTCAATTATTTCTAATTGGCGGGAAGGGAGATAACCTTGTCATTTTCCTCAGTTCTTGCATATCTTTTGAATCACACGGAGGAACGTATCTTGTTGGTTAATGAGCTATTAACCAGAAGGTCACAAGTTGTCAAAATATGCGTTTTTTTACTGTGAGTTCTTTCAGTTCTCATCACTATAGTCCTATGGTTTGCAATTAAGTTGACCGAGACGGCATCTGTGCTGTTAAAACAAACTTTGTGGCATAAAACACGTAGGCGATAATCTATGAGCTGTATGAAAAAAGGTTGTGAACCTCGGCTGAGCTTAAAGTGTCCTTTGGTCTTAAAATATGCAGTTATTTCTAAACCTAGCTTTTTCTTTGTCTGTCTGCAATTTGCCAAAACATGGACTGTCTCGGTGATGGAATTTCCGAAAATGTGGAATAAAAATCTTATGCCCTCCGCAATTGTATATGCGTATTTTTGTAGAAGTCGGCGGCTATCGTCGACCAGAATGCTCGCCATCTTCTTTATGAATCATTTTGCGATTTTTCTGCCTGTAGTCTTGTTTTTGGGTGCCTTATATCTGAGGCATCGGTGCGTCAGTTCTTCCTAGAGGCCTCAGTATTTAAATGCAATCCTTATGTTTTCGTTTCGCTTTGCACTACATTAAATATTGCAACTGGGTTTCTCAAGGGCTCATGCCTATTCGGCTCCATTAACTAAACTGAAGCTCATCTCTTTTAACACTGTCGAAGTTTGTGTTTGAATTTGCCAATTTGTTGCCGCTAAGGCGAATATCTACGGTTTCATCTTCTGGACAGTTGTTAATTTTCTTGCAGTGGTTAGTCTTTGAACGCAATCAGTTGTATGCACTTCTTAGCTCTGCTCTACGAGCCATAGTTTTCGTTTAAGTTCCTCTGTTGTGTGATGCAAACCTTTTCATTTACCGAACCTTTTTAATTAGCTCATTTTATTAATTAACTTTGCATAAATGACGTGAGTATGCACGGCTCAGGAACTCATTTAGATTTCTCGGACACATTTTTATACTTGGACAGTTGGTTATAGTTTGCGTTTCGTAGGTAAACGTCTACTTATTGCAGTCTAAATTTGGGCTTAAGGCGGCTTAAGGCGGTTTAGTGGTAGATATTGCTAGGCAAAAATTTTTGCCTCGTAATATCTACCACTAAATGTCTTTTTTGGAGCTGATTGCCTACTGTAGGTTACCTCCAACATATAAAGAATCCTTTTTTTCGTCCCAGTTATTATTGCGCACGCGTATCGTGCCAGTTGAATATTGTCCTGTTCTCAATATTACTCTCCTAAGTAATCATGGCACATTTTTCTTGTTTTCATGTGTTCTTCTGAGTGGGCCCTGGTCTAAAAAATCTAAATCATTAATTATTCGTCGAATAATATTGTAGATTTTGCCACTTAATATTTCCACTGTCACTAAACTTTTCCCTTCTTCGCTAGCAACCTTTTTACTGATCTATTGGACCGACCAAGTTGGCATTCAACGAGGTTGTTATTATGACACTCTTCTTCTTGGTGTTCTTAAGGGTTTCTAAACGTGCCACGTCATAACATTCCATGCACCGAAAAACTGAAATGGTTTATAAATTACATTTTGTTGAATGTTTTCCATGCTTTTTGGTTTAGCCAGACTGGTTGTGGATTATTGGTTAAATCAAGGAGCTTTGGCACCGAGACCGATTTCCTTGCCACTTATCAATTGACACATATAGAACGAAGAGAATAATTAGATGGGCAGGTTGGTATTTTCTCTCGCGACGCTTTTACCACTGATTATTTCGTCGTAGATTCGTTGTTTTTGTTTCCATCGCAGATTATTTCACGCTGCCGTAGCGTAGGCCAAACCTCGTGTTATGTCAGGTAAACTGGTTAGGACAAAATCGGTGGACACTGCATCACTACTACAAGTTAGACGTTTTCTTTAGCGGAACCTTTAACATTATTCTGACGTTCATAGTATATGTTATAATCACCTAAAAGAAAGGATGATGTCTATCTAGTTTTTTCTCTTATTTCGAAAAGTCTGAACGTTCTGTCCTATTTTCTGCCGCCGTCATGACCTCATTCGATTTTCTGTCAAATAAAAACCGTCCAACCTTGTTCAAAATTCTCAGTCTTTAATGGTTCTTGCAATTTTCCACTGAAAATAAAACACAAATTCTTTCATACAAATCTCTGAAGGAATATACAGCGCCGTTGGCTATTCAGCAAACTCTGTCTTTTTATCTATAAATATTATAAGGAGGACGCAATACTTCGTTTTTCGAGTTCAGAACTAAACTTTTATTTGTTTCATATGAGCATGACTGTACCTTGTATAGCTGTGCCGAATGATGTCACGACAGTAGTTCTCTGTGCGCGACAATTAGCTGCAATGCACTTAGAAGGTCTGGCCAACTCTTTTCTCTAGCGGCAAAGAACCAAGGTCCAAGAACCTGCCCGATTTCTTTACTTACTTTGCGATATAAGTTGTGGACCTCTCTCGTCTCTCGTAGTAAAGAAACAAAGTCGGATTTAGGGCAGCATTTCTTTAAGCATAGGACGAAACATACAAGACCTAAAAAACCACTGATCGTATTTCTTGAGTAATCAGATAGATCCTTACAATGTTCTAACTTTGAATACGGACGGTCTCTGAGTTGCCCTCGAATCATGTCGCTAGACCTCTGTTATGCAAGATCTCCGGTTTTCCCTCGCTTTCCGCGCGCACAACCCCGCCTTAAAAACTGTCAACATCTACTGCACACTGGATCCTGCTGGTCGATATAATGTGACGAATCCACAACCAATCTCAAATATTGTAGATGGGCGCTCAGTGGTCCCGTTCTGCTTTTGAGGCTCGTACTGAAACTCCACAGACAGT